ATCTGAACTGTTCGACATTTTTCATATTGTGAATGTTAAAAATTGAAATATTTACAGTTTAGATTCACAGTGTGAATGTACACTATTCGAGGTTTTTTTTTAATCGGTGTTGATGTTTATTAATAGAGTACAAAAAATTAATATTTTTGGTATAATTAGTTATTTTTTATTCAAATAAATTTAAATATTTGAAAAACTAAGAAAATTAAGTGGGTTTTTTTCGAAAAAAAAAGTTCGTTTTTTATATATCATCATGGATCTCTATGGAAAGAGGACGAAAAATCGTGAACAACGGTATATTCGGTTTTTTTTTCTATAACAAACTTGGCCAAAAAAAAATTTAAATGAAAAAAAAAAGTGGGTTTTGTTATAATCCGGTACATGTGTGTCCATTATAAAAGTTTACAACCCTTCCTTTTGCCGTTGATCGCTTTAAATTCAGACGTTTTGGATTGGTTCCTTGGTTCCTTGATTAATAATGGTTCTTTATTGAACTTCTCTCTCTCTCTCTATATATATATATATATATATATATATATATATATATATATATATATACTCTTCTAATAAAACAGTACTAAAAACGCCACCTGGCAGTCCCTTAGCCACTCCACCTTACGTTTTCCCGCTCATATATTATAAGTGAAGTTCCCACTTTGCCCTTCTATTTGAAAAAATCCTGTAAAACAGCAAACATGAATCATGAATAAGTAAATACGTAAATATGTAAATCAGGAAGTAAATCAGGAAATTTCAGATTTATTTCTGTCGAAAATTCCATATAGTATGAATCCCAAAAGATCAGCTAATCAATTTAAATTCCATTATCAGCTAATCAATTTAAATTCCATATAGTATCAATCCCTAAAAATCAGGCAATCAGTTTACGCATAGATGATATATTTCAATACAAATTGAGAAGTCAATACGATTCCTGTTAACGTGATTTATTCAATACGATTTCAGAGGTCACATATTCATCGTTAGGTTACATTTCAGAGTTCACATATTCATCATCAGGTCAGCAAAACTACACTCTTCTTTACCTTTTAGATGTTCTTTTTTCATCCACATTCTTATTCGATTTCAACCCACTTTTCATTCTTGATTTGTGATTTATTATCATGTTAACCATTTCGATTTCAACCCACTTTACATTCTTGATTTCTGATTTATTATCAAGTTAACTATTTCGATGAATATCAACCAACTTTCACTACTTTTCCCTCTATTTTTTTACATGTTATGTATAACATCACTTTTAACTCTATTTTTGACCTCTTATGTATAACAGTCTTATACATTGGTATTTTTGCACCGAAAAGATAAAAATTGCAGAATCATGTTCACAAGTAAAAAACGTCGATTCTTTAAAGTAAAAAAAAGGAAACACATGTTATATTTTATAAAAAAAAATGAATCTTAATATTATGTTAACATCATGTGAAAAGAAGAGGTCAGCAGTCTTCTCTGCAAGTTTTAACATAAGTAATACGATTTTTCTGTTTAAAAATACTATTTTCCTTATTTTTTCTGTAAATATGTTTATGTGCTTATACTTCACTACTTTTCTGTTTCATCAGTTTTATCTTTTGTCTTTTCCCTGTTATGTATAACAGAAAAGTTTTTGATACATATGTTTACAAGTAAAATAATTAGTTAGATATATAAATCAATATGCGCTTTACATAACAAGTTTATATTTGTGCTAATTGATTCCATTTATTTACCTGTTTATGTGCTTATATTAAAAACGATTTTTCTGTTTAAAAATACTTTTTTCCTTATTTTTTCTATAAATATGTTTATGTGCTTATACTTCACTACTTTTCTGTTTCATCAGTTTTATCTTTTGTATGTATAAGAGAAAAGTTTTTGATACATATCTTTACAAGTAAAACAATTAGTTAAATATATAAATCAATATGTGCTTTACATAACAGGTTTATATTTGTGCTGATTGATTCCATTTATTTACCTGTTAATGTGCTTATACTAAAAACGATTTTACTGTTTAAAAATACTATTTGCCTTATTTTTTCTATAAATATGTTTATGTGCTTATACTTCACCACTTTTCTGTTTCATCAGTTTTATCTTTTATTTTTTCCCTGCTATGTATATTTGAAAAATTTTTGACACATATGTTTACAAGTAAAACAATTAACTAGATAAATCAATTGGTGCTTTACGATTTTTCTTTTTATATTTGTAACTTTTTGTTAAATTATACAATTTTTTTTTAATTTGCAAGGTACAATGGAACATATAACTCCTGTAAAGGAAATTGACTCAATCAAGGACGATTTCACAATTAAAGTTCGGATCATACGTCTTTGGACTCAAAAGTCAAAATTTAATGCAAACGACACATACTCCATAGAAATGATTCTGATGGATGAGGAGGTATAAGATGCATATATTCAATTATTATTTTTGTAAAATATTATTCATATTCATAAGCCATTATATTTAGATGTTTGTTATTTGTTTATTTTTTAGGGAAGCAAAATTCATGCATCTTGTGTCAAGAAATGGTTTTCAAAATTCCAAAGCTATCTTAAAGAAGATAGTTCAATATATGTTAAGAAACCTAACGTAGCACCAAATACTTCAAAATTTAAGTTTGCTCATCCGGAAAGTAAACTTACCTTTAACCACGATACAACTGTAAAAGATTGTGACAACTTTTCTGGATCTGCACACGGCTTTGATTTTGTTGACTTCAATACTATCATTTCGAACAACATCCTGGAGGCAAAGTCTTTTGGTCAGTTCATTTAATATTAACTTTTATTATATAACATCCTACTTTCTTTCTTTGGACTACAAATTTATCATTTTTATTAACTTAATCCTATACTTTGTTGCTCTTGTAGATATTATTGGACACATTTTTTAATATAGTCGTATGGATACCTCTGAACAAGATAAATCACAACACAAAATGTTGTTGCATCTTCAAGATATAGAGTATTCAACATTATTACAAACAAATAATACAAATTATTTTATATTTTCTACAATATTGTTTATTGTTTCAGGGATACTAAGCTTAAAGTAACTTTGTGGGGTCAGAATGCATACTACATGTCTGATTTTCTTGCTAACAATAATAGCCTTGCTCCAGTTGTTGTTATTGTTCAGTTTGCCAGAGTGAAGTTTATTAATGGTTTGTAATTATTTTCATCAACCATTTACTAAAATTCTATATATAATTAAATAATAAATTTTATTTTTGCAGGTCGTCCTTTTTCATCCACCTACTTTGATGTTAGTAGGTTGTTTATAAACAATGATATCAATGAAATTAAAAGCTACAAAAAGAAGTATTTTTATTTAAGCTTCCCTTTGTATTTTCTAATTTTTTTTCTTCATACTATAATAAATAAAATTCCTTTATTTGTTATAAATGAACAGATTGGTTTCTGAAAACAATCAACAACTTTCATCAAGTGGAATCAAGATGATTGCATCAAAACAAGACAGGGAACACGATGACTTTTTGAAAAATCATTTGTTTTCAAACATTGGTGATGTCATTGAACCTTTGGAGGTACTTCACATTATTTTTATATTTGTTACGTTAATACACTTTTATTTTAGTTTTCAAAATTGTAACAAAAAAAAATAGTATATTGTTATAACGAAACTAACATACACTTTCGCAATATAACATTTATTAACATTGAACAATATTTAAATTTCCAGGAAAAAACGGTGATTATTGTTGGTACTGTTAAGGGAATACGTCAAAACATACGTTGGTATTACCTTGCTTGTAGCAACTGCAAAAAGTCAGCAAGAGAAAAATCGTCTTCTACCGATAAGGTTGACGGTTCTCATGAAGTGGCCGAAATCGTTACTTATGAATGTACTAATCCTATATGCAAAAATATCAAAATTTCGGTTATTCCAAGGTATTACATATTTATTCCACATAATAACGATATATGTTTATCATATTTGTGTAATGTAATATAATTTTATATTTTATTTAGATTTAAAATCCCACTTCGGGTTCAAGACAACACCGGAACCTTGACTTTAACCTTATTTGATCAAGAAGCAAAGAAGTTATTCAAATACACAGCTAAAGAGTTGTATGATAAAAACAAGAAGGTATTATTTCATAGTTGTTAATTACTTATTAATTTTATACATTATATATTTTACATACAAATTTTCTAAGATGATTTATTTATATTTTAGCTTGGCAACAATTTAGATTTGTATCCAATGGAGTTGAAAGTTGTGGTGGACAAAAAGTTGGCAATGATAATTGATATCACAAGTTACAATGTGGATAATAAAAGTAACATTTATGGGATAACAAGATTAACTGAGAATGCAAAAATAATTGATGAACTGGAAAAAAAGAATCTTATTCCACAGGTTTTTTTCAACACTTATATTTATTTCTTACCACATTCACCCAACTATATCTTAATCTATAGCATTTTGTTTTGATATTATGATGCAGCCTGCCAATTCTGATTCACTCATGATTGGTTCTTCGGATATTGCCTCCCAAGAGACCAAAGTTCTTAAGGTTGTACTTTTAAAATTATAATGTGTCAAATATTTCGTTTTAATGTGTAACAACTAACTAAAAAATACAATAGGATTCTTTTTCGCAGACAGGTGAAAATTTAACACCGTCTGCTATAGACAAGTCAACTGCAACAAGTCCTATAAAGCTGATTTCCACACCAAACGAGTTGAAAAGAAACCTTGCTACATCCATAGATCTTGATGAAATGGAGAATTTGTCTACTTCTAAAAGTGCTCGATTGTCACCACCAGATGAACAACCAACGCCTCTTTTGGTACCCAAGAAAGAAAAGTAAATGGATCTTACTTCTACAAACAATCATTGTTCGTTATCATTTTGGTTTCCGCATCATAGACTCTTAAGCCGTTTACATTTTTGACTTTGTTGTTTTTGAATGTTTTTTACTTGTCATTTGATGGTTTTCATATTTGTTTCTTTAAAGTACATTGGGATTTTTTATAAGTCCTATAATGTCGTTTGCTGTTTTATTTTGTTTTTGGTATTTGAACAATTTTTTTAGAATACATTGCTTTATTCTCACAACTTATTGAAAAATTACATTCTTATTTATTATTATGCTGTTACTTATATGTTTACTTTTACATATAAATTTCTTTGACATACCACTTTATTTTGACAGTTGATTATAAGTTACACAAAAAGCATCGCTTGCTACATAATATGGATTATATGAAAGGATAAAAATGTTATATTCAATTGTTACTTAGAAAATTAAATTATTAATTGCATAAATTAAATTCTTAATTACTTACGTTATTTGAAATTTATGCATTAATTTCATTAAAACCAAATGAAATTATACCTTTTCAAAAATAGCTCCAAGTATACCAACAACTAATCTTTCATCATCTGGAAGAGGAAATAGCTTTGATTCATCACCCAATTCATTAAACGGTTTTGCACTGAAAAGATAAAAATTGCAGAATCAAATCACAAGTAAAAAAAACATTCATTCTTTGGTGTAAAAAAAAGGAAACACATGTTATATTTTATAAAAAAAAATGAATCTTAATGTTATGTTAACATCATGTGAAAAGTAAAGGTCAGCAGCCTTCTCTGCAAGTTTTAACATAGCGGAAAGGTCGGACTGTTTCTTTATCTCACAGAATTAGATTATATAATATTAAATATACAGTAAAGATAACAACAAACAAACAGAATATTCCAAAATGTCATATTAAGACGACTCATTGGCCACATTAAGACGACTCATTCGCAAACAAGATCCAGAAGAACCATCACTAGGCTCCACAACTAATTGATCAGAATATTCCAAAATCTCATATGTGTATACAATTTATGAGAAGGATCTGCCTTGGGAAACATTATTTTGTCCTCTGATCCCTTCATAACTATCATTTCACAAGAATTTAAATATATGTAAAGGATAGGAGAAAAATTGAAGACAGATATGGGAGAAAGTGAAGAATCAATGAATACAAATGTGTTTGTTGGACCTCTTTATCAAACCACAAGATTAGATATTATAATAATAGAAATATACATATTCTAAGTGATCAAATCGTAAATAAAAATATTATCCAGATTAGAAACATAAATAAAAATCTATCTTTTGTTTTTTTTAATTAAGGACATAAATATTGCCCCATGAATACTCACCTGAAAAAACGCATATTCAAATTTCAAATTTTGAAAATGCGCTTGCTGACGAATCTTCCAAATAGCACAAAATTTATTCCAAACACATCAACGTTTTTTTTTCTTTGCTTTCTATACTCGTGTAGCATCGTTCTCCATCTATTTTCTGTCAAAAAAAAAGGGAACAACAATTACCGAAAAGATAGAACTACAAAACAGATAGAAGAACAAAACAAAAGAATACGGAGCACCAAATACATTTAATCGATTTAGGTTACTTGCTTACATATAAGAAATCGACGGAGGAAAACAAAATCTTACAAATTTGAAACATAGATTAAGGCTACTTACAGTTAATCACGATGGATGATAACGATTAGTCTATCGTTCTTGGACGATACCGATTTGGTTAGGGCAATAATAGGGTATTTGAAAATACCCTTCTTCCCATTTCTCATACCTTGAATTTTAGATGGGTAAAGTTAGGTTAAGAGAGGGGTTTGATCGGTGGGTGTCGATTACTTTTCCCAATATTATTAAGACGTATAGAACCACAATATCTATAATTTGTTTATACCGACAATACTAAAGCTACATTTCTATAATTGAAATTTATAAACAAAAATAAAATTTTTAATGTCTCATAATGAAATATAATATTTTTAAAATATTTGTATTGTATTGTTTTATGAAAACATTTTGAAAAAAAAAATGGTAAAATTACGTTTTATATTTATTTAGTTATAATATAAAAATATTATTATGCACCCAAATTACGAGGATGCTCATACTTAAAAACTTTTGTGCAACATATTTCAAATATATGTCAAACAGTAACATCACGTTTGTTTCTATGTTATTTTTTATTTATTATATTGTGTTTAATATAATTATTATTTGTTCATATTTTATTTTATCAATGGTATAACTATAGGATACATACTTTTTATATTAGGGTATATAATAAAATACAAAATATTTAAATGTAATCATATTACAATAATTAACCGACTTATATATTTGTATAAAACAAATTGCAATTATATGTCAAATATTGGCAAAACGTTAGTTTATATTTTATTTTCTTCGATTTAATCATATTCTTTATTGTGTATCATCTTATCTTATAAATTAATTGTTGTTAAAACAAAACTAAAATCGCCTCGATACAACTGTATAACATTGTGAAAACTTTTTTCGATCAGCACAAGTCTTCGATTTTGTTGACTTAAATACGATCATTTCGAAGAACATCCTGGAGTCAAACTCTTTTGGTTAGTTATATTTTTTAATTTAATAATATTCGTTGTTGCCTATCATCATATTTTATAACGTAATTGTTCTTATTTGTTCATATTCTAGACATATCATGAAGTCGTTTGATTCTAAAAAGAGTAGAAAATTAAATAGTTTTTATTTAGATAATATAAATAACATTAATTTGTCTATTACATCAATCCAACAAACGTCAACCGCTACAAATGTTATTACTTCACCTTACAACGGTAAGTTTTTTCTTTAACATTTTTTAAAAGTTTTTTTTTACAAATTTTTTAACCTGTAAATTAATCTTTTAATAACAAAAAAATATGACCATATATTTACATAAGAAGAAAAAGGAAAAAAATTGTCTACTTCATCGACTGCTGAAGATTCATCATCTGCAATATTTGTTAACAACGGTTACAAAGGTACATTTCTTATTATTATTATTATTCATCATATGCAATATTATGAAAAATTATTACACTCTTATACATTTTGTATCATATACTTTTATTCCTTATGCAGAAACAAACAATAATATGTACTACTTGCTAGCAAAAGAAAGAAGAAGACAGAGAAAATTATATTTGGATAAGAAGAGAGCGAAGAAGATGAACAAAAAATCCAGTGTTCTCAATCCATCTACTCCACATGTCTTAAAAAAGACATATAAATGTAATTTTCTTTTTTTATTTTTATTTTTTCAATTCATTTACCTATATAAAAAGGACATACATTCTCATCATTTTATATTATTCCCATGTACTAATATAAAATTTTTTATTCTAATTTTATTTTATAATATATGTCTTCACTGTTTATAACAAGTTGTTTTTACAGATCAATCAAAGGGCGTTGTTCATCAAAATGAAAATGTCAATTTCTATAAATCACGTGGAAACCAAAATACACCACTACAATTTTCTTCTTCATATATAAATGTTAGAACTCCGTTATCTAACATTTCAAATGGTAATAATTTTTGTTTTCAAAATTTACTTTCAACCACTTCCTAATAAATTTATATATCCTTACTATTTTTTTTCCAGCTAATGTTAGTTTCAATGACTACGCCACTTCAACATTACCAAATAAAATACATTACTATGTACCTTCTAATGGTATGACGTCTACAAATGCATCTACAATAACTGGTTCTTCATCATCAATCAAGTTAAATCCAGGATGTCATAAATTAAAAAAGAAATTGAAAGATTTATCTCCTATTTCATTGATTGACTTGACAGCAGATGTAGAAAATATACATGAAGTCATTACTGAAAACCTAATAGTTGGTATCTCCAAAGGTAATCAATATAATACCCATTTTCTTTTTTTCTTACAACTTAAATACCGTATTATATATACTTATAAAATTAAATATTTTACTTATACCGCTATATTTTATTACAGAATATTTGGATCATGGTGATCAAATTGTTGTATGTCAAACATGTCATGCAAAATTATGGACAAATGAATCCATTAGAGGAAAACAAAAAGGGAACACAGATTATTCATTATGTTGTGGTTATGGCAAAGT